GGCTGATTACTTTCCATATTAGTGATGATCTACTAGTCAATTGTTAGTAATGAATAAGTGCGAGTAGTGCATTTGTTTTTATAGTTAATTTTATTATTGTAGCTCGGACTATTTTGATTAATTATGAGTTTCAATTTTATGTTTGCAATCCACGTCCATTTATATTAATAAGAGCACGCATTTCGTATTATCCGGTCAAAAGGGCTTGTTGAGTTTTTCTGTATATCAAAGCACTACTCAAGGATTGAATTGAATTCTCGCATTGAATAGAATGAATGTACATGATGACTGTTAACCTATCAACGATATTTCACGCATATGTGGCGTTTGTGTTTACGCTTCTTCGTATGACGGTTGAAAACATTGGGACCGAATTATTATTATATTTTTACAATAGAGCATCATAATCATTATTCAAAATTCAATTTCCAACTATGAAACACTCTAAGTCGTACAATATCAATTACTTTACATATATGTGACTACCTGAACACTATCCAAGATTTTCATTACATTACAATAATGACTATCCTTGTCATCATCTTATTACTTTTCCCTCCGGTTAGTGAGATCCATTTTCATTTATCCCAGCACATCACCTTTGAGTGCATTGCAATCCTTCATTCTGTTAAATGTGGTTTCTTTTATTTATGTTGCTTTTAAATGTTGTGGTATTTCTACCATTCTGTTAAATGTGGTTTCTTTTATTTATGTTGCTTTTAAATGTTGTGGTATTTCTACCACTGAAAGATAGACTTTTTCTTAATATCTTATTGGTTATGTATCAAGAATCATTCTTAGTTATGAATTTGAACATCTCCAATTTTACATATTTTAACTTTTCATTTTTAGCATAAAAATTGTTTCAATATTCTATGTATTTAATACTCTTGGATTATCGATATCACACAAGTAGAATATGAGTGTGAGGGTGTCTCATTCATCTTGTCTCTTTTTATTTAACTTTTCCCCTTTTAGTTATAACAGAGCAGTTGTAATGGCTAGATAATTCTAATTAAACTACGAGTTTTGGAGATTTTTTTCTTTGTATTTCAATTGGCTCCCCCCTATAGGGGATGAAAATTTAGATTCATGCATTTTGTGTCCCAGCTCAAATTATCCTAGGTGGTTAAAACTTACTAATACACTACACTGTATGTAAATGGATTGTGTTATGACAAATTTTGAATCGGATTATTCTTAATGTTGGCATGTAAAAGTGGATTTAATTTATGATGTATTATTGACAAGTGTTTGATTGATAAGTGTATGATGTATTATTGTAGGCCCAATATATAATGCAGAGATTTTCTTACGCTTCATGTGGAGATCTTGATGTATTATTGCATTACTCATTGATGTCCGGTTAACATTTTATGGGGTCAAGATTTTATTTTGACTAAATGGTGTTTGTGATGGAAACCAGAGACACACTAAAGAGTAGAGAATACCACGTTCAATCGTCCCACTTTTCCAGTGACTTTTTCTTTCAACTAATTAGGACAAGAATAAGTGTAACACTTCCAAAGTTCCAAATGTGGTGTTATATATGGAGTTGTGACTTGCTTTGTATCTAGATACATTTTTTTTGAATTTAAAAACAAATATTCTGTTATTTTTCTTAAAAAGTTTATTACAAATCAAATGATTTTTACTTATTTTCAAGTAATACATAAGATCTCATGGAATAAAAAATGCATCTAAATTGATATGTTTTACCTTTTGAGTATTTATTGGCAGTATACATATTTTTGGAGTCTTTAATTAAATAAAATACTTAAATAAACATAATAAATAAATTGAAATAATACTATTTTCTTCTAAATACATACAAAAACTTTGGAAGTAATGCCAAACCTGTTGTCACTAAAGCCAACATGATTCCTAGGATAGAAATCAAGTACATTAACCCTATTTTGAAGGAGAAAAATCGTAATACTCGCATTGTTTGTTGGAACAAACCTCCCACTGGTTTTATTAAAGTGAATATTGTGACTGCTACTGGTAAGGATGGGGACTGTAACTCAGGTTATACTATTCGGAACTCAGGTTATACTATTCGGAATGACCAAAGACTTCTTCCTGGAGAATAACTACACTAAGGTTATTATTGAATGTGACAAAGTACAGGTTATCCAGATTCTTAAAGGGGAGAAACGACCAGGATGGAAAGCTCTCGCCAATTGCCTGAGGTTTAAAGAGACAATAGAAGACAATAACCTCAACTTCTGCTATGTCAAAAAAGCTTGTAATAAAGCTGCATACTTTGTAGCTTCAAACTTTAATTCTTTTGATAACAATCATGTAATCTTCAGTAAGTTTCTAGGTATTGTGAAATTTGATGCTATTAGTTATCTGTATGTCGTTTAATTCGATAGGTTTTGGTCTAATCCCCCTACCATGTATTTTATCTCTTATTTAACAAACATGTATGGGAAAAAAAATCTAAATAATAATAATAATAATAAAATACAAAAAATTTGAAAGTCTTGGGATAGGTCATAAGCATGTCAAAGCAAGATGCATCATTAGTAAAAAATAATACTCCCTCTGTCTCACTATAAGTGTCTCATTTTTCATTTTTCGTTTGTCCAACTAAATTTGTCTAATATCATATTTGGTAATATTTGTCTGACTGTAATTCATTCTTACTTTATGAATTTATTATCAACCACATAACTCTACTTTTTCTTAAAAAAAATGCATCACCCACCTTTATCCTAATCTTAGGGGGATGGAGGTAGTACTACGTATGGATCGGAGTAACATGCTTGCATTTAATTTGGCAAAGAAAGTTATTTGTAGACTCGAACTTATTTAAGTTAGGATCCACAGATCTATCCGCCCACATCTCGTGCAACGCACAAGTGATATACTAATATTATTAAATTAAATGTGTATGTGTACATATAAACATTGTGTATGTGTGTATTATGGGTGAACGGAGGGGTACAGGAACCGCAAGTCGGGTAATACAAATTCAGGACGGGTTAGTGCTGGTTCCTTATTTCGAAAAACCCAAACATGATTCGCAGCATGAGTAGTTGCAGTGAGAGAAAAACAAAAAACATTTGTACCGAGGAGAGGAATAATCGCTAATAAAGAATAATTTAAGATCTAAAGATCTCAGAATGAATAGTACGTAGTGATTGTCGTTTTAAGAGGTTCTCCCTAGAGCCCTCCGCTTATCATATTTATCAAATATATTTAAAATTATAACTTTCATTATTTAAGGAGCTATGTATTTATTATACATTTAGTGTAACCTAAGAATTTATGTGGGTAATAAACAACTTTGTTTCCTCACTCTAGTATCTTAATAAAGATATTGGGTGTGTTTGGAAAATGACATTTCTGTCAAAAATGACAGTTTGACCACTTTTAACATTTTCAATAAGTGAAAACGATATTTGATAAAGTAGTTGTTCGGCTCTAGCGTTTTTGGATGAAACCGCTGAAACGAAAACGCCGTAAATAGGAAAGTTTGGGGTTATCGTTTTGAAATAATTCTTTTTCTACTAATAGTTATGGCCAAACAGTTAAATTATCAAACATTTTCTGACAACCCGCCAACTTATTCTGCTAATTATACCCGCTAACTGAATCTGCAATAGACAACTCTCTAACATAATTTGATATCCACTATTCACTAAAAGCCAAGCACGTCCACTATATACATAAAGATACTAACACCACCAAGTGTGGTTTGGGACTTGGCGGGTAGGGCTTAAGTCCACACTTAAAAGGAGAAAAGCCGGTTTAATGCACCAAATCATCTCATGATATATAAATTTGGCATATTAGCCATCTGTGATTTTAAAAATGCGTCAAACCTCCATATGTTAGAATTATTCTTGCGCAAAACCCACTGCAAAAACAAATTTTACAATTTTGAAATCACTTCTTTAAATAATACAATTGAATATGCAAGTAACTTTTTCAAGATTTCTAAATACTACAAAAATACTAATCAATTTTTCATTTATTTGACAATTAAATTTGTTTATAAAAGAGATTTTGTGCATGATTCACTATAACACATGCGAATTTGATGCATTTTTCATATCACATAGGCTAACACACTCAATTTATATTTAATGGAGAGGTTTGATGATTCCAATATTATATACAAGTATGTACTACGTAGTAAACAAGGGCCACACAAAAAGTAATTCCTAAAATTGAGGGGTATTCATTTGAGGCATTTAAAGACATTTAGGATTTGTCAAATCTTATGTATTTAATAAAGGCATTTTATAACTCCCAAAATGTCAGGGGTATTCATTTTGGACATCAAGACATGAATTCTAGGTAACATTTGGATATATCCAAACTTATAAGCCCAAACATAGAAGGAATTCTCATTACCCAAATCTTTCACCTTTACGTGAGATTTGTAATCCCAGCAAGCACGAAGGTTATTATCTCGCTGTACGGCTCTTCCTCTCCGGCGTGAGGTCGACCCGGAAGGCCACTCTAGTGTGCTGGGTTCTTCTCCCGGTGAGATGTGTATCAGTCCGACGATGAAGAAGGCTAAGGTTGTTTGATTGTATCTTTAATTTTGCCACAACAGTAAACATTTGGCCATGTCAGCATTTATTACACTTAAATACAATCAGGTACCGAATTAACACTTGATTTTATGTACTTCTCAGCCTCGATTGCATCATCATGTACTCTTTACTCTATGGGCTACGACTTCGTGTACTGAACTGACACTTACCTCTTATAAAATGTTTAGAAAAGTCTCAAATGAATACATCCTAAGGATGTTTTCTTTTGGACTGTTTTCAGTCCCAGACCAGACCATACCAGATCAGACCAGACCAGACTTAAACAGTCCAGATCAGACTTAAACAGACCAGACCAGACCAGACTTCGATAGTTATAAAATTACAGAGACCAGACGTTTACCAGACCAGACCAGACCAAATCAGATCAGACCAGAAAATTTCAGTACAAAAGAAAACATAGCTAGTGCATACGGGTCAGGCCCAAATGGAAAAAGTAATCGTCTCTCGTAATATCTTCCTCAACCGTTCAGGACGACTGACGCGGCGACAAGTTTTCTTCAACAGCTACCAGCGTCCGCGTACTCCTGCGAGCCCGCGAGCCACCACCGGCTATTGCGAGCTGACCGGACTCTGCCGCAGCACCTGCACGCTGGAAGAAAACTCTGATTATTGTCTTTCCGACTCACTATCCAGCTAGGTAAACCTAAAGTAAAAATTAAATTCCAGATTTTGCTCAAAAGAGAGATACTTCCGGATTCAATTAGTGATGTTTTATGATATGTGTTTCATATTCAATTACGAATTTACCATTTCTTTGTTGAATTAGTAAATTGTAGTTTTCTGAAATTTCAGTTAGTGAAATTTAGGAAGATGAAATTCCCCCCCTGCTAAATACGCAAAAGCTTATTGTCCTGTTTTTGATACCTCAAATTCATAACAAACCCAAATGCATCTGCCTAGCTGTTTGACCTCAATTGTAGTGACTACCGGCTAAGAGCCTAAGACGTGCTAGGAATTTCCATAGCATGACATTCTTGTAAAGTTTGCTATCATAAATCAATTTCCTGATATGTAATTTTTTGTAATTTGATTGTGATTTGTGTTGATCATTTTCGGGCAGTTTATAATATGATTGTGATTCACTGATTTGTGTCTATGAATATTAATCCTTTACTTGTGAGGACCGTTTATGCTATTTTCTAATTTATCATATGATGTTGTGGATTGTTGTAGAGTAAAAAAAGCAAATGAAGGTAAGTTTGACGAGATACTATAAATCTATTGAAATAGAAGCTGATGAAGATATTTCACTAAGTATTGTAGTGGCCTCTAGTAGATCTAAGAAACGTCAAATATGATTATGTAAACCCATAGAGAAATAGGTATCTTTCTTGGAAAAGATATTTTCTTGAAAATTGACAATGGTGTCATTATCAGACCATATCAGAACAATTAAGAATTATTTGTCAAGTATTTGTATTTTTTTTTGTAAACTACTCCCTCCATCCTGTTGAAAGCTTCTCACTTTCCTTATTTGAGTGTCCCATTTAAGGGTTCCCATTCCATTTTTGGAAATAATTTGCTCTCTTTAATTACACCTTTACTCAAACTTCTCTTTCCTACTCATTACATGTCAAGTCTCACAATTTCCCCTCCCCCAACTTATCTCTCTTTAATTACTTTCACTTTATATGTTTACTTCTTTTAAATTTTCTCTTTCCTTTTTTTTTTACCAAAATTACTTTATTTAACCACTTGCCTAAAAAACTGTGCCATTTACCCAAGGGAACCTTCCAACGGGATGGAGGGAGTATTATTCTTGTTAAACATCTGTATTTTTTCGTATTTTACTGTTTTTATTTTATGGCATTAAAGTTATTATATATATATATATATAAAACTGAAAATTGGAGAAAATATTCAACAATATAAACTTATGGTCATACATTTCTCAAGGAATTAGATAACAAGTGTATGTTACATTTAACAAAATATGATAGTCATACAAAGGCCGTGGTTGATGCTAATTCATCTTACTAATTGACTTATTGATATGACATTCATGGTTTCCACAGTCTCCCCCATCTGAATATTGTTTCTTCGTTGCTTGCAATGCTTTTTCTGGCTTGTTCAGATGGAAGGGGTATAGAAAGCTACTTACATCCTTGAAGTGTGCTCCAACATTAGCAATCTCATTAATTATGTCTTCTAAGCACATTATGTCATGTTGACCCAATGCCTGTTCAATGATGTTAATGTCTGTCAAACGCACTCTTTGTTTGCCAACTTTTCCAGTGCCTTTCTTTAAAATCAGATCCCTCTCACACTCTTGAGATTAGGGTATATATCCATATGTGATGTAAGGCTCCGACTTCTGCAAAATTCCTAATGTTCTTTCATCAGCCTTTAGAAATACCCCATCAAATACTCTCCCCAGCCTCAAAGAGTATAAATATTTTCGTGTTTTCGGATGCATTTTATTTTTCCCTCCAATACGTATGACAAAAAGCAGTTTGGGCGTTGGGAATGCTGGTAAGCTCCTTTTACCCCTCTGTTTCATTCTTACCAGGTCAAGCTCCTTGTCTCGAATATGAACTGTTCGGGCTTCTTAACGATGAAGCTATCAGATTTGAGATTCCTGACTTTCTGCTCCAGCTGAAGATTCCTTTGTATGGCCCACTCCTCATTGTTTCTCCTCTCTTCAGCACAACCTCGTCTATGTATTTCAGAGGCTACTCCTCTCCCTCCGCCCCATGTCTACGTGACGTCTCCGGAAAAATACGAGGGCAGCGTAATAAATATATATACGTGAACACTCTGGCCCCACCTGGATTGAAACTCTAGTTCTGCCCCACAGAATGTTGTTTTTGTTGTACATTATTTTTCATATTTTGTGGAATATTTCTCTAGGATAAGGTGTATTTATTCCCGTGGAGCTCCTTCGGTAGGAACACTATAGGAAATTTCATTCTCTTTTATATATTACTCCGTAATAATATGTGTAGTAGAGAGGAATAACATGAACCTAACAACTATTAAAAAAGAACCTCATATTGAGACAGAATGAAAAGGAAATGAGTGAGTACCTTTGTGGTAAAGATATAGTATGTGACAATGTGATAATAGTATCCTGAGACTTGGCTAAGAAGTTTGTGTAACTGATGGATATAAAATTATGAATATGTATTTGATTTTAGGATCATGCATTAAAAATTACTTTTAAGCGTCGATTTTACTTTGTTTTCGATCTTTCAAATGTGCCTTTCTTTAGCATTCGTAGGGGCTGAATCAAGTTCTAAATCTGCTCGTCAGCTCAGCCTCAAGTTTTTTTTGTCAAACGCATGACATGTGTATGTTGCCACAAATAGGAAAAATTTATAGATGCATTCACAATATCTTGCCTTGTTCCCTTGGGTATAACAGGAAGGATCTGCCTAAAATCTCCACCAAGGACTACTGTGATTCTGAAATCGCAAAATATCACGCAGAGTCCGATCTAAAGCTTCAAAGCAATGATTATGCACCATTGGAGCTTCAATCCAAACTATAAGCTTACACTTGACTAGAAGTTCAACAAGTGCACTACCTTGTTTTATATTGCACGTAGAATCTTCGTTAGGATGAATTGGAATCTTGAACCGAGAATGTGCCATACGACCTCCTGGAAACAATAGCGACGCGATTCCACTTGATGCAACATTCAATACTATCTCTCCCTTAGAACGTATAGAAGCAAAAAGAGTCCTTCATACAAAAGTTTTTCCAGTGCCACCATATTCATACACAAAAAAGACCCCACCTCTATTTGAATCAATAACATTCATTATCCTATCATAGACAGTTCTTTGTAGAGTTCTTTGTTCTACAGTTAAGTTACCCAACAGCTCTTTATGGTTCTCTGCCAACTTTACTCGGTCATACCTCAACTCATCATACACTAATCGATTGGTATTATTTGATTAAAACTCATTATCAGGACATGGCATGCGGTGAAATTCTTCTAAACTCCTTCCACAACTGCGTAACATCTTTTGAATTTCATACAAAGTATAATTCTTCAATTCTTCATCCGATAATGTGAGATTTACAATAAACAACTATAATTAATAATACATTTGTATAATAAAAATTTGAATGTGTGCGAAATAATATAAAAATATACCTGGATGATTATTCATCACACGTTGTTTGTGGAGGATATCTTCGGATAAAAAACCCAACACTTTTCCCAAACTTCCTCTGGTCTACTTAAACAATCAGCAATTAATAGAGCAACAAATAGTTTACGCAAACAATGTGTTGTTGCCCAAAAACTTGCTTCTTTGATTGCATCTATATATTCCTTATCATCGTTTAGTAGACCTAAAGCATAACAAGCATCACGAAACGTGTCATATTGGACACCATCAACCTTCTTTATATCTTCAAAACATGTTGGTCCACGAACAACATTCAAAAGATATCTAAGAAAGAATAATTCACCGCAAGAAGGTGGCACATAAAATAGTCTCCCGCTATCAAAATTTCTCTTCCTCGGCACCCACTATCTCATAGAATGCTTCCTTACAAATCTTATGGGCATCTCAGTATAAGTCAAGTTTCTTGCTTCGGGATATATCTCATTTGCTCTGAACCAAGCAAGAAACGTGCTTTCTTTCACACTCGCCTTGTTAAGAACTTCGTTTATGGGCTCGAAGTTGTTAAAATAAACATCTTGTTCATTAGGCAAGTGAAAGCTTAATCTCTCCACCCCAACACTTTTGTACTGAATCTCAAATGCTAAAGTTCTCCCACAACCTCACATGATGAAATGTATCTGCAATCATAATACATCTTGACTTCATCCACATCATTCTCAGCATGTTCTCCGTTCGCACTTTGGTAGAATGTTGCAATAATTCTATCATTTCCTTTATTCACATATTTGAATAAATATTTTATAGATCTAGATTGATTGCACCACTTCACATTCATATGTGCTGCATATTTGAGCAATAAATATCTATTATGAGGCACCACATATCTGTTATCCAACTCCACTCCATTTTTTGAAACGGTTCTCCTATCATGTCTCGATCTCCTATACACGGGATACTCATCTTCATCCAAAGTGGTGTGCTCCACAAATCGTTTCGGAAAATGTTTCAAACATCTACCATCTACCATGCAAGAAGACCTCTTTCTCAAATTTCTGCATGGTCCATGCATCATAAAGTCCTTCACAGCATTAAAATACTCGGGATCGCTCTCTTCGCAAGGAATTTCGGCTGAAATGATCTTATCAATGTGACCCGTTGTTGCTAGGTCTTCAAGTTTCTCAAGAAACAACAATATGTAGGCATGTGGCAATCCACACTTTTGGAATTCAACGGTGTATATAACTACAATATACCATTGCAAAACAAAAGCGATCATCAGTTGAAAAGAACTATTACGAATAGAATTAGTAATTATAATAACAATAACCTTAATTGTTACAATTTTTAAGAATTTTTAAAATACCTGCTTTTACAATGCCAAATATCTTGTTGCGACGGAAATCATTGATCAAACCATCCAACTTCATCTTAAAAACTCGACAAATAATATCAGGTTGATCCTCTGGTTTGAGATTACGCTCATCAAGGTATCACTTTCTTAGATGAAGCGTTAGATGATAACTCTCCCACCAATTCCATTTTCGCACCCTAAGCATCA